TAGTAATATGCATGCTAATAAATAACTAGTTAATAGTGAGAATTGATCCTTAAAATAAAGTGTTCCCTTTATTATATTATTACTTTATTATTCTGCCATTGCATGCAGTGAAGTCAGTGTTGTTTCAAATTTTTATTGGTTGAATAAAAAGTTGAAACATTCTTGAAAATATCATCTTTTGTGTCCCACAGAAGAAACAAACTCATTGGAGCGACATGAGGGTGAGTAAAAGTGAGCTATCCCTATAATGTTTCCAAGATGCAAAACAGGGTACCTTTTATATTCACTAACTGCCAAATTTTATCCCACAGAAAGAAAACAAAAACAATAAACAAATTTAAGAGGAAGGCAGGAGCCAGGGCCGGGTGAGACATGCCAGAACCCCACTGCACTGAACTCCCAAGCCCAGACTGCTCTCTTATCGTCTTAACCGGGAGTCCCGTCAGCAGCTATAACGCGACTTAGGGAGCGGATCCCTGGAATGAACTGTCCCTAGGCGTGGCACTGGTGGTTGTGGAAATAGAGTATGGATCTTTTGATCGAGGCTGATCCTCTCAGGCCGTGGCAAGGCTGAGAGAGGCCGCGCCGTCTGCACCATTAGGGCTGAAATTCCTGACATTCAAAAGCAGCCACAATTTAGAGGCCGTATGGCAGGAGTTGTTGGACACTATTCAGTGCTGCTTCTCACCTCACTCAGGCCTCTGTGTTGTGATACCGTTAAAAACCATAGTGTCTATTTGATTTAGAGGGTATAAAATGTGGGAACAACAAGCTTTTCATGTCAGGGCATCTTCACATGGTGGTTTTTCATTGCAGACACTGCAAGAACTCAAGGGGATCATGAGTAGGCTCTTGATATCTCAGTCTCTGTCTCCTGTTCTAACCCTTGCTGCTCTTTCTGCTTAAGATAAAGCACAGACTGTCATTTTAAGGAGGATTTTCTACTCAAAACCACCTAAGGGGTTGGATTATGTGGATTGAGACAATTGAATCCACATTATTAGTTATAGTTTTCTCAACATTGCTGTGCAGAAATGGGCTTATTTGAAGATAGGGCTCAATTTCTGAGGTAATCCATCTCGAAGTCGCCTAATGCCTTCAAACCAAACTATGCTGAGAAAATAATCAAATTGGAAGAACATTTAATCTGGATCATAACGATTGCACAATAATGTTGTATAAAAGGAATCATGATATTGGAGTAAACACTATGTTAATATTGAGTAACTTAAATTTTAGACACAATATTGGATGTTAGTTTGTGTATTTTTGCAGTCAACAAAAATGGTTCTGCATATTCTGTTGTGAAATCTGTTGTGAATCTTAGAGCAATAAACAGTAGTCTTTTTCCTGAATGATTTAGTTTTTTTGAATGAATCATTGAAGAAAAAGATTATCTGTCCTGTTTTTAAAGACACTAGCTGGGTTTGCATATTAAGTACTATTCAGCAGCCATATCACCCTGCAGCCCAAGACTGGTTGCCCACTGAAGCTAAGCATGATTGAGCCTGGTCAGTACCTGGATGGGATACCTCCCGGGAAAACTAGGTTGCTGCTGGAAGGGGTACTAGTGAGGCCAGCAGGGAGTGCTCCACCCTGTGGTCTGTGTGGGTTCTAGCACCCCAGTATAGTGATGGGGACACTCTACTGACAACAAGCACCATCCTTCGGATGAGACGTTAAACCGAGGTCCTGACTCTCTGTGGTCATTAAAAATCCCAGGATGTCTTTTGAAAAGAGTAGAGGTGTGACTTCGGCATCCTGGCCAAATTTGCCCATTGGCCTCTGACCATCATAGCCTCCTATTAACCATCCCCATATCTGCTGATTGGCTTCATCACTCTGTCTCCTCTCCACCAATAAGCTGGGGTGTGGTGGGCGTTCTGGCGCACTATGGCTGCCGTCGCACACTAGTGGTGGATGAGAAGATTCCCCCTTCTATGTAAAGCGCTTTGAGTGCTCAGAAAAGCACTATATAAATGTTATGAATTATTAAGTAGGTACTACATTTGAATTAAAACACACTTTGTAACAATTAAAAAATTATATTCTATATAGATTGAACATGTAGTATAGATAATAATTAATGCATTTAGCAGACACTTTTATCCAAAGCAACTTACAGTGCATTCAGGGCAGGCTATACATTTTTTACCAGTAAGTGTGTTTCCTGGGAATTGAACCCACAACCTTTTGCACTGCTAACACAATGCTCTACCACTGAGCTTCAATGCCATTTGCGACTGCCATGGCCTCATGGGATAGTAAAGTGTCCATCAGATGTGCACTTAAGAATCTTAGCGGAAGTAGTAGGTTATCTGGGTACTTTTTGCCTATTGTTTTACGAATACTTAATTGTCACCTTGTCGCCACCTACTGGCGTAAGGAAAGAGTCACTAAAAATCCACACAACTGAACTGTTGTATAATATAAACTATATTTGTTGATTACACAAGAAAATTTAAATGAATCACATCATGTTTCCAATGAATCCCTCAAATTTAATTTCATCGTTTGAGTACTCTAACAAGGATATCAAAACTTCAAAAGGGCGCTCTTGATGGGTCTGACAGCAGCTGAGTCCACAGTTGTTGAGTGAGCCGTGTGGTCGCCTAGTATTTGCCAATAAGCAGAATGGTCTTCTCAGTCACATTGACATGCCCAAACCCCCTCCTCCGGTGAAGGGGTTACGTCACTGTTTTCTGCTTGTTTAGCACCCTATTGTTTGACCGGCTTTTAATAAACCAAAGGGCAGATTCCTGCCGGGATCACCCCGCAGACCTCCTCCCATGCCCATCTGCAACCCAAGCAGCATGCCAGGGGCACTGCCACCACACGCCGACGCCAGTAACCCATGTCTCCACACTAAAGCCCACACTAAATATATCTCCTGTGATAAAGATAAGACAAACACAGTGGATTTGAAAGTAGCTTGTTGCCAATAGCCAGGGCACCATGTGAGCCAATGCTAAACTAATGTTAGCTTTACATTTAGCTTCTCAGAAAAGCGCCGGTCTGATTGGAATGCTAAATGATGAAAGGGTGGTGGGGTTTCCAGTTAAATTAATTAGAGACCCTGTTATGTTGTCCCGTTAACCTTCCCGCTTTAATGTGACATGCAAATTGACGGCTGTCATCATCTTCTGAAAATACCTCAGGCTTTAATATCTTTGTAAAGAGCTTGAAGAGTCGTCAAAGGACTGTTATGTAGTACTGATTATGAATGAGTTGCGCACTGGTAGATACTGTCTGCTTTTATATCTAACATCCGGAGGGAAGTGTGTTTTAGTTCACCTCTTCCTCAAGCTCCATAAACAATCCTCCGAATATCTATGATTTCTCATCTGGTGCGCTCGGCTAATGACCTCTGGCTTAGCATTAAATTGAGTATTCAGTCCCTGTCTGTGATAGACAAGCAGCTGATGGCTTACCTTAGCAACCGACCTCCCACAGCACACATTATGCGAAGCTTGTCATTTATAACATAGCCATTTTCCTTCGGGTATGAGTCATTCCGGAGCAAAATCACTATGTGTCTGATCTTAATGTTATTAATATCCAGTTAAAATTGGATTCTTAAATTGTGAGGTCAATCGATGACCATAATTAGCTTGTCACTTCTGGCTATGCATTATATTTAAAAAAAATCTAAGAATGAAGAAATGTAATAATAACAATAATATATATACATAAATAATATCTAATTAATATTTATATATTAAATTATCTATTTATATTTAGTATTTGTTTAGAAAGGTATGAGCTGCCGAAACAAGGAAACAGTAAAACACAAATGTATAACTGCATAAATGTATAATAACCTTGCAGCCAATGAAAAGTAGCTCTGATGACCCGATCACCTTTACAACGCTGGTGGTCTTACCTTCTGCCTGGTGCCGTTTAACCTGCAATATTCAATCCCAGCTGGCTCCTCTAGGACAGAAATGAATTTTTTTAAGCAACAATTGCCTTTAGATCTCTCCTTCTCCCTCATCCACTTGCTCTCTCCCCTCTCTCTGTTTCTCTTTTACTCTCTCTCACGCATGCCGATTGTGTGTGAGCTCTGACTCCTTCCCCTCCCCCTCGGCTCCCCTCCCCTCCACTTTGACATTCACACCCCCTCTTTTATTGAGGAATCACATGGAAAAGGGAAAAGGATGGATGATGTACATCTTGGGATGGTTGTCAGATGTGGAACGTGACACAGCAGTCATATATCACCTTAGGGACACACACATACTTGCCCCAGCTGCCACACCGACAAGCAAATGGGGATTCCAGCCAAATCAAGAGGACTGACCAAAAGTCTGGCCCTCTTTTACGAGGTCCAGGTTATAAAACTGTTAGCAGAGTTTACTTAAAAACAATTGGTCTGCTGGGTTTCGTTGCTGTCTTCCATGAGACTTGGGAGGTGTAACTCAATTCAGCTGGAATCTGTTTTGAAGTATGTATCTAGTTATATGTTGTAGGATAATGGAAAAAACGATTCTTTCTACCTCAAGAACAACTACAAAGGGGAATGACAATAGCTGTATTCAATTTATGTCTTCATACGCTAGCACGTGTTTTAAAATTCATACAAAATACGAAGAAATTGCATTCAAATGCAAAGCACATAACTGCATTCTTGGAATATAAAATAAAAAACAGATGTGCAATTATGAGTTCCCAATGAATGCATAATTACTATTTCACATCTCCGACATGGAGAGAATCCAGCAAGCATTTTTGTTTTTCTCAAAGTTTGTCCTTCTGTGGCCAAAAATGTCCTTTAAACATCATGGTCGAGGAGGCAGTTGAAATTAAATTACTGCAAATATTGGCACTAGAGGGAGAAAAATTCGAGATATGGACTTCATCTGAAAGCAGACTGAAGGTTTGTGGCTTGAAAAAATCTGATTGTCAGATCTTACCAACTTTATCCAGCAGTTTCCATGATGCTAAGTCTGCCAAAAAATGTAAAATGACTTAGTTTGAAGCTTCTCATAGAAAAGAAAAGGCCAAGATGGACTAACTTAACTGCAAATATTGACTAACATACAGTTTTACAAAAGAAATGCAGTCAATGATGACAAACCATCATGCCAAGTTAGAAGCCTCTTGAGAAATAAAGTCTGTGCTAAAAGCGCAGGAGGTCAAAAGTTTACTCAGCATAAATTACCTGCAAGGCTTGGTGTGACCTCACAAATGTTCTCATCTTCTATCTCTCGACCTCTTGACAGCACCATAAATTTACAACCAGCAACTCCTGTTCACACACTGCAAATCTGAATTGAAGTAGATTAGCGCAATGCTAATTCAAAGTGGGCTGATCATGAACAGGGTTATGTTACACGGCCACTAGCTAGGTATTTAAGTGAGGCGCACACATATGCATACATTAGAATAAAAATAAATCATTTCTCTGAATCCTTTCTACAACTGCGAGACAAATGAAGACTGGTGTTGACCTGGTATGTCAGCGAGA